CTGGATAATAATAATAATAATAATAATTATTATTATTATTATTATTATTATTATGATATATATATATATATATATATATATTTCCATATTTAACTTATTAATTAATTGTAAAAAAATTCCACTTTCGTTTTGTTAATGGATATATTTTCCCTTTTACACACCTTTTTTCTAAAATATACAATAATCTTGCATGAAGTTGACTATTTAAATTACACCAATTTATTTGGGAACATCTTATGATTAATTTTGACCCAAATACTTAAAAATTAAACGCTTAAAATAACATCACTTCCTTCTAACAAAGTCCATTGGAGTTCCAAACGCCCAGTGAGTTGAATACTAATAAGTTTTGAAATTTTCAGTGATAAAATCCATTAACTGAATGATTATTATTATTATTATTATTATTATTATTATTATTATTATTATTATTATTATTATTATTATTATTATTATTATTATTATTTATACTTAGCTCCTCTCCATCAATATACACACGCACGTACCAAACAAGTGTAATTATTAGATAATAATAACATACTGACAGATTTTTCATTTAATTCACAGGATTCTTAAATTTCATAACGTCCATCTTGCCAGACTAATAGAACTATAAAAATAAATAAATTGTGAAAATTATATTATTGTAATTGAAAAAATAAATTAACTCCAAAAAAAATAAAAAATAAAAAAATAATAAAATAAAATTGTAGCTATATTATTGGTTTTTTTTTTTTCTCAAATCAATAGATAATATTATAAATAAAAAATACACAAATATACGTATACACAACAGCCAACGGTTGAATATACAGCAGCCAACTGAAAAAGTGAGAGGACAGGTCAGAAGACCGCTCCCGACTAGCAACGCTAGAATAAAAACACTCACAATTAACTAACCAACGACTCAAATAATTAAAACAGTTAAAAAAAATCTCCGAACAAGTAATACCCGAGTGTCGAATCTGAACATGATATTAAGTTAAACACTCCTGCAGCTATATTATAGTTACCTTCACTCTTTTTCCACTTTCTTTCTGACAAGAAAACAAAAGGGCGCAGAGGGAAACAGAGCAAGAAAAGNNNCCTCCGAGGAAAAAAAAAAAAAACTATTATTTGCAGAGGTACTCTCTCTCAAGTTGTACGAATACAGTATTCTCTCTTTCTCTCTCTCTCATTAATTTCTCTTGTTATTTTGAAAAAAAATTTGATTGCTCTTGATGGAGCCATGAAAGGATTTCTAAGCTTCGTCTGTTTTTTTTTTTTTTATTTTTTTTTAATTGTTTTCCTGAAGCTTCTGATTAGTAAGTCTCTGCTGGCTCGTTTTGA